TTACGTAAAGCGTCAATAAACTGCTTGTCTTTCTCACAACGAATTCATATTCTACCTAAAAGATAGGGGAATGGTGAACTATTTTCTTTTGCTTCTTTTGAAGTTTGTGGTTTTTTATTGATCAAAAAGAGCCGGTAATTTAATGGCTCAATATATTAGGTTGACGGAAAAGTTCTGTCGTATTTTAAATAAGACATTTTAAATAGTTTTCAAACGGTAGATGCCGATGCAATAGAAAAGTGGTTAGATTTGAGTTAATCTCCAACATGAGCTGCAATATATTGTCATTGATGCCAAGCACGACGGACTGCTTTGATATATAAATCTCCTGGACAAACTTGGTTCAAACATGTAAAATCTCATTTACATAAGTTCTATATAAGCAACTGATTTGTCGCTTTCTTTCTGGAATTTATGCCGAATACTCTTAAGGCAATGCACCCTACACTTTGCAACTAGCTGATGATAAAGCATATTGGAAAGTAATCCTTTCCTATCCTTTGGGAGACATGCTATGTAATGCAACGCCTGTTACTAGCTTGCTTTGGCCTGACTAGACAAATTACTTGAACGTAGTAGAATACACCAGAACGGAACGGCCATCCAATTATACTATCGCTGCCTAAGTTCCTGTTTAGATTTATCTAAATATTAACGTCCGCCCGTTATTTAGAGTTGGAATTGTTACGCTTGCCCACGAAAGGAGCAAAAAAAAAAAAAAAACAACTAATTCTTCTTAACTTGAACGAGTAACGAAACTAGGAATAAGGTCTTTCTCCTAAACTAGGTAATAATCGAATTAAAAGTATCCTACATCTTCTTTAAACTTGGCGAGACTAAAGTACAACTTCTTGTCACTAAATTTTAGATGAACCGAAAATGAAAATAACATCAATTTTCGCTAAGCTTATAGCGAGAGACATACATTAAAACAAAAAACAAACAAATTTCACCAAGTTCAGCGAGAAATGAGAATAAAAAAAAAAGTTAATTTCCTTTAAGCATAACAAGGCGCGAAAAACAAGCATACAAGCATGGAATCGACGCAAAACACACAATGGTATAAGTATCTTTCGGATAAATGGGAGGAGATACAATGCCTACTGCAATGTAGAAAGAAATATAGAATATTTTCGCACAATTTCGAGCAACCGTAGCACCCCTTGAGAATAAATATAAATTTTATGATCATCGTTGTCGCCGGTTATTTTGATGGTTACAAATAAAGTGACCATATTAGTATATCCCGTACCTGCCGGAATTGAATACAAACGGCACGGTTGTGTAATAAATTTCCTTAAGAAAAACTAATTAAATACCAAAACTATTACGTTTCGCTACATTCTATTGTGCGCGAAATGTTACAAAATTAGTCACGTTTCGCAGACAAAAAAAAAATAAAAATAAAAAACAACAAAAGGAAGAAAATAAATCAAAAGTAAAGTGAGAATTTTAATTAGTATTTAAAAAAATAAATCTATTAAAAACAAATATATCTGTTCTGTCTATCTCTTTTCGTGAGAAATATTTTGCATTATTTACCCAAAACGCAATTAAGAGATTTTTTCTGTTCTTTTTCAAAGATATAAAAAAAAAGAAAAATTATATTTTTGAAAATCAATTGCAAGAAATAGAAACACGTATGCATGTATGCAGATATTCTAAATGTGTTTTACGTGAAATTACGAATGACACACATTAGCAATTAAATGTTTTTAATTTCAGTTGGCGTGAAGAAAAAAAGAAAACAACTATATAATCGGTACAATGTTTAAAAAAAAAAAGAAAAAAAAAAAAGCCGGTTTTTTTCTTCGTTGTTTTGCTCGTTATCTTCTACATAAATAAACAACATAATATTATACGGGAATCGAGCTTACTTGATATATGCCGGCAAAAGCATAAGGCGACATGAATATTTAGTTACTAATACCGATTAATAATGAAGAATGCATAAAAATGGATAAAAAATGAGCAGAATGCAGGGAAGATGAATGTAAAAATATAACGGCATATATATAAGAAAATTATTAATAAAAATTTTAAATAATAGCCATATACGTTACACTGACCATTGCTAAAACCGTATACCAATCGTATGACACTTACCACACTCACGATTTAATCCGTGTAGGTCGATTTGACAGTCGCATCGTAGTCGTTGTGTTATTCATTAAGGAAGCCTTCCCTCGAACTACGTCTTCAATAAACCGAGTAAGAGTGCTATTAAGGAAGTTGGTCCTGCTAATCTAACAAGACAGAGGCAAGGGAAAGTATAATACTGCAATTGAAGACTATCATGACGGTACGTAATCGACGTACCCAACACCAACATCAACTTTCTCAGACACAAGACCATTCTTAGACGCTAGGTATTGTTAGCCGAAAATTACAACGGTCGCAATTTGAATTTGAAATGTTGATGACTTCTTCTTTTGCTTTTCTTCTTCTTTGTTTTTGCGCTGGTAAAGTGCGCCAAAATCCCTATTTCTTGCAATTAAAAAAATGGGAAGCAAGTTTCAAATAGAAATATTGTACCCTTTAGAAAGTAAAAAAATGCATTTGATCATCTTTTTACCCTAATTTCTTTCTACTAGGATACGCCTGTGTAATAATTCCGACGCACAAGTTCACTTCCTTCCGATCACAATATATTTGACAAAGATCGTATCAAACGGAACAATTAGAGACATGGGTTAAATCGCTGTCTTTGTTAAAGCCGGGGAAGCAACTATCTTTAAGTGAGTCTTACTACAAGTCAGTGGAAGCTCTATCAAATGCATTACATTCCCATTAATTTATTGCCTTTGTACTCACGTTAAGGTGAAGATATAAAAAGCAAAACACTTGAAAAGCGTAGCATATGAATACATATCTAAAATTATCATTGTGTTATGAAATGTGCACCAAAGTCATCGGAGTGCAGAAATAGATACGTTTCATAGAACACGCACGCAGTGTTCTCTGATTAAAATATGTCAATAAAGCGTACATATACATATGTACGTACACGCACATAAGTCTAAAGAAATCTACTTATTATATATTGATTTATTAAATGATATATATATATATATATATATACATTTATACAGTGCTTATAGCACTTCCATAAAGAACTTTAAAGACTTGTTAAATAAACTCAGCAGCTGGCAAAATATTTACTAATATTTTCTTATCATATATATATAGTACACATATATGTACATATATTGTTTAAAAAGTATATGAACTTGTTCAACTAAAAATGATTTATTGATTTTCACTTATTTCTTTATATTTAGAGTAAATCCTTGCTTACAATACAGATATGTCAGCATCTGACGTAGTCCTGCACACAATTTTCCGATCGGACTGTTACCCCCTTGATTCGTTCACTGAATTTCCAAAGTAATTTTTTCGAAGCAATTATTTTAATAATGGTTGACGCATCTGTAAAAAATTCATTCCCGTTGTTTTTATTCCAAGAAATATAGATTTATTAAATTTATAGATTCTTACAAAGAATATTTAAAAGAAACCAGGCCATTTTATATGAGCTTGCCTCCTTTTAATAAATCTATAATGAACCATTTAACAAATTCTATATGCTTTATCATACCTCCTGTACCTCTTGTACTGCTCCTTTTAACCCGTCAACAAAAAAATTCGTGGCTTTTTCTTAATAAAAAGTCTAAAGATTTTTCCTAATATATACAAGAAGGGAAAAAATTGTCACTATCCAAGTCTATCCCGCTATCTGTCTATGTTGTACTCTAAAATGTTTTGAAGGATGGAAAATAAATTTTATTCCCTACAACTGCCGGTTTTTAAGCTTATGACAAATATATGTTCTAAAATACATCATTATAAACAAATACACGTTCATCATCCGTCAGCGGCGGATGGACGGATTACGACGTATATTTTTGTTACACAAGGTTAACTGAATAAATAATAGATTTTTAAAATTGTTTTTTTTTTTTTTTTTAATTTTAGGAGTTTACTTGCAACTTGGATCTGTCTGTTCCGTTGCGGCTGTGCTTCTGTGCTAGCTGTGTACATGCTTTTTTCCCTCTTTTTATTTATATATACATGAATTATTATTTCTAACTTTTTAATTTATTTTTACACTTACTTTGTTATTACTATTCTTCTTTTTTCTTCCTTTTTATTGTATACTAGTTTTAAAACAATTAGCGTAAGATTTTCTATTAAAATGCACTGAATTCGACTGTAATTTTCTTTAGTTGAATTTCATGTATAAATGGATAAAATAAAAAATAAATAAATAAATAAAAAAAAAATATAGTTTATTCTTTCACCCTATCAGATTTGTTCCGCCCGTATAGAATAAAAACTACATTCGCTTTTGCCGATTTTTGAATCAGAAAATCTATACACAATAAGAATATAATAAAAAAAAAAAGAAGAAATTAAAAAATTCTTGTGTGAAAATTGTATTAAAATTATCTTTAAATGTAACATGAGATCGAGAGCGAAATGGAATTAAAGGCTTTGCTTATATAGATTCACCTTTATCATTGGTCCACTTCAATATAATCTTCTTTTCTCAATATAAATTTATTTATGTAAACAAAAATTAAATTATAAAATTCAAATAGCTTTCTTTAATGAAACTCATATACTTACCTTCGTAAAATAACATAAATTTTTCCTGCATTAAATTTTAACACGGAACATATTACAACAAGAGAATTGCTATTCGATGACCGCTTTTTTTCAGACCTTTTTGGACGGACTGTAAAAAAGTTTGTAAAACTTCTAAAAGAACAAATTGCTTTATTTTTAATTTATTGATCTTCGTTTACTTAGTCAATCAATATAACGCGCGACTCACAATTTTATAACGAATTGGCACACTTCCCCCACAGCTAAATCAATTTCATAGCAGTTAACAAATACTTTTTTTAAATACAACACAGCTGAGAGGGGTCAGTCACAATAGTTTGTTTTGTTTTGACAGCTGTGAAAAAAAAACACGTATTCGTATTAATATAAAAAATTTTCCAAGCAAGGAATTATAACTTTTTGATAAAAGAAAATGTTAAAAAAACATCTAAAAAATTTTTTTATAGTACTTCTATTAAATATCAATCCTATAACGACACACGAAGCGAAAGATTTCGATGATACTATTTTGTATAAAATAGATTTTGAAATGCCTGATTTCGGAAAGAACACTGTAAGTAAAGAAAATAACTTGGTAAAATTGTTAATTATTATGTTCTTTTTATAAAGGAACTTAAAAATTATGTGCGGACCTTTTATACTCACGAGAAGGAAAAATACGATTGTATGATTCCCATTATGGAGGAATCTAGGAAAGAAGACAAATCTATTGAACTAGAATTATGTAAATGTTTTAGTTTGTTTCCTTTCAAAAATAATAGTTCTTCTTTTTATTAGCCCCTTTAACATTGCTAAAGCCCATTCTTTACACCTACTCTTATCGTATTGAAGCGTACTGGTCTTACGAAATTTGCCACGGGCACTATGTAAGGCAATACCATGAAGAACGCGATGGTAAAAATGTTAAATTCCAAGAATATTATCTGGGTAAATGGAATTCCGATGAGACAGAAAAATTGCAAAAGGAATGGGAGGAAAACCGTAAAGCAAATATTAAATATAAAACGACTAAAATTGATAACGTAAAATATCCCTACTTTGAAATGGTTTTAACCGACGGCACCATGTGTGATATCATCGATGCACCTCGTACAACAACTGTACGCTATGTCTGTTATCCTCATGGAAAAAACGACATATATTCTTTCAAAGAGACTTCTTCTTGTAACTATGAGGCAATTATATTAACACCGGTCTTATGCGTGTTGCCTGCATTCCATCCCGAGGAATCCAAAGAAATATCGATTAAATGTTTCAATTCACCTACCGAGCCTCATAAGCCTCTAAGTATGTTGCGGCAGGAGTTGAATGAATTGCAATTGTCCGAAGACGATCTACCGGTGCCCAAAGAAGTTAGCGCGGCCGTTGTGGGTTTGACTCATACCGCTGCTCTTGGAGACCGTAATTTTTTTTTTAGTAAATATGGTACAGATGTTGATAAATTGGTTTTTAAAATTATGGCTGCTTCGGATACAGATGCGGATACTCACGATACCAGTAGTGAAGTTTCAAGCGCAACACCGAAACCAAGCACACCGCCAACAACACCGGCAATATCACAATTTCTAGAGATGTCGTCAATACTGACCACTATAAGTGGCAAAAGCTGCCTAACTGGGGTAAGTTACATTTTTAATAGTCGTAGCTTGAAAACCAGCAAACAATATATATATGGTGGCATGGTGTGCTCTCGTAAATAAACCCAACATTTTCCCAAACATATTCGATTCAGAATGCTATAACGGTGAAAATTGTTTGAAGTTCTCAGAAAAGCTTAAGTATTCAAATTCTTTTAAAATTATATATATTTGGTGTCTTTCTTTGCTAAGTTCTCGTCTTTATGCGTGTAGGGAGCTGGCTGGTGGAAGTATGAATTTTGTTATGGACGTCACGTGCGTCAATTTCACAAGGATAAAAAATCTGAAACAGAACTCTTTTTGGGTCATTTTAATGCAGCGTCTCATCGACAATGGCTAAAAGCTAATCCTGACAAACGTCACCAGGAGCAATCAACTTCATTTTGGCAACACTACGAAAAGGGATCTTTTTGTGATCACACTGGCCTTCCTCGAGAAATCAATGTTAAATTTATTTGCAGTAGCTCTATAGGCTCACTGCCAGTTTCTATGTACTTACTAGAACCAAAGACATGTCAATACATTTTGGTATTTGAATCACCTATGGTTTGTGTTCTAATGAATTATATCGATGAGTATGGACTAATCGATGAATATAGTTTGGAGAAAATGAAGCAAGCAGGAATTTCCGCTACCAGTCCAAAAGCTACTGATGAGGCGACAGATGCAAAAGTTAGTAAAGATCGTGAAGAAACTACTTCTGACGCAATATCGTTGACATCGACAGATGATATAAGACTTTAAGCAATTGCCCTTTATTTCCATTTTTTTTTTGGGTTAAAAAGAAATTTAAAATCATTGTATTCAGTAATAAATTAATATAGTAAAACGGAATTGAAAGTCATATGTCATTTCCTAGGTTAACATCACTGAAGGTGGCGGCAATTCATCTGGTTTTAGTATTAAATTCTTTTTCTCGGGTTTTGATGGCATAGGCTTATCAGCATTAATTTCGGCCACCACTTCGGTGAACAATTTCTCCCACTCCCAAACCTCGTCAGGCTCATCTAAATTCTCTGGTGCTTGTAAACATTTTGTTAGGATTGATAAATCTGCATCTCCCACATTGCCATACGATTTTTGCATTAATATATCAGAGTTTAATTCTTTAAAAGTAACGACCCGGTCAACTGAAACTCTATAAATTAAAAACCGAACAATAACTGAAACACTTTTGATGCAAATTCAAAGAAAAACTTACGAAGGTGGCTCGGGGATTTCATTGAGTAATATGTCATCTTTAAAATCATCCAAGTCTGGTATAATTGGTATATCATAAGTTGGCGATGTATTTGTAGAAGGTTTTAAAACAAAACGATCACTAGACAAAAAGAGTAATAATTATAGCTAGAAAATTGTATTCGCTTTAAAATACCACAACAGTTCAAATCAAGATTTCATACTGATTATATCTCGAATCATTCGATGTAAACTGTAAGATGCGAATCTCGACTGTAGCGAATTTTCGCGCATATCGCACCTACTTAAAAACTTAACTGTGATCATAAATTAATCATGTACAGGCAAATTTGCTTTCAGATATTTACATGTTCTAGGAGCCTAAAATAAGCAAATAATTTTCTTTCTATTTCGTCCTATTTAATTGCATTCAGCTTGAATGAAAGATTTCCTAATGAAAAATACTTGCAATAGAGCCGCTGTCTTAGTACTTACGATTTTTATTTTTTAATGTTCGATTTCTGACATTCAAAACTTTTTAACCCAGTTCCAAAGTACTACGTCCGTTTTTATGCACCACTTGAAATACTAGGGCGCATAAGGTTTGTACGAACGCATGCAACACCCAGAGATAGGCCCACTTTGATCATTATGATCGATTCAGAATCACTCTCTGATTTGATTTAAGCGCGTCTGTCCGTCCTGTTTTTTATTGTTCGACCTATAGGCCGTAATTTTTGAGATATATTGATTGACTATGATAGACCAACGCATTTTAGACCAAGAAGGAACGCTGTTGAAAATGGACCACTTTTTAAACTTCTTTCCATATAGCGTCTTATTTTAAGAAGTCGCATTATGAATAATTGTAGACGGTTATTTTATGTCGGATCGCCAACCACTGCAGTTTTCTGACTGATTCATAGTATTGCAATCGAGTTACCGTATTTAGTACATTTCCAATCTTTAATAATTAGAATAAAATAAAATAAGCACTTACTCATCTATTGAGCCTTTCTTAGATCTGTAAATTGAATAAAATACTTATTTTAAAGGCTTTGTTTTTAATGTTGCTTATACGCACTTTGATAATTTTCCTAGGCTCGTGTCAGCCCATCCCCCAGAAATACGTCTCAAAACAGGCGGTTTTTTTGGATCTGGGGTTGTCGAAGTTGTACTTAAATGCAAAATATTTGCTTCGGTTAAGCCGCCGACTGCATCTGCGTTGTTACTGCTAGTAGCAGTAGACGAAGTTACTGGTAAAGTAATATCGATGCATATGTCATTGTTATTAGATGAAGTCGCTTGACTGACATTATTAGTAGAATTCGATGTTAAGCTTTGTGAGGTCTGAGCCGAGGATGTGGTATCTTTAAGCAGATCACGACTTCTGGAACGTCGACCCTTTCGAGCAGTTGTCTATTGATAAAATGTATTTAAATAATAGTTTGAGATAGTTTTCTGATACAACAAATACTTTTCTAATTGACATTTTTAATTCTTCGGCCCAATCCATATCGGTAAAATTAAATATTATTTACTAGTTTTTTGATAAATTTGCTTCTTTTAGCAAAGCGAAGACACTATCGAGTTGCTTTTGTCAATATTTCCTTTTAATAAACGCTCTGACAAATAGAAAATTTAGGCAACCCTTTAATAACAGTTAAAAACTCCCCTATTGTGAATGAATAAAAGAAAACTCTCATTGCTTCGTTTATTTGAATCTATTATTATGATATAGAATAATAATTTTGGACATATAAGCCACAAATCTATTAGTTTAGTCCATCTCCACCCAACAATCCAAAAAAGAAAGAGAATAATAGTAAATAAATAAATAAAATCAATAAATAATAATAATGAACTATAATAAAATAAAATAATGAATGAAATAATGTGATAAAAATATACTTGCATTATTCATCGTCAAGATAATGGATTTTATTAATAACATGACGGTCTCTATTTGCTGAGATCAATAGTTTTTGCCTTCTGTCATCTAAAACAATAAATAATTCCTATATTTTGATAAGCAATAAGAGACAAAATAAAAAGACGCGCAAACAGACAAAATAAAAAAATAGCGACATACTCTTCAGCCATTCCTTATTACAGAAGAAACCCTTTGATAATAGTTTCTATCCCAGCGGGCTTATTTATTTCATTCTATAATTATGATTCATGATTGTCTACTTGATGGTTTGGTTCCTGTCAAAACGTCGTGGAATAACAAAATGCGGTATATTGCCCGAAGAAGATTAGTTACAATTTTCTTTGGGTTAGCAACGAAGAGTACTTTGAATAACATATTTACTTATTTATTTTATTACAAAAGCATACAGTATAAGTCCAACAGGGCCGAAACAACATTGCGTACCGTCTAGCATAATAAACCTGAACGTTATATAAGTCGTTAAGTTATAATATTACAATTCATTTTACATTATAATTGATCACTACGCTCACGCCACTAACAGGAATATACTGAAGGAATGGTGTCCTCACCCAAATGTACAAATGTACAGTAGATGATGTAAGGAACGTATAGTAGGCATCAGCGAACAAACGCACTCTCAAACAATTATCCTTGAGTACCAAGTATATATTATATTATATTATTGTATAATATATATTATATTATGTCGTGAAATAATGATTATTGCGATTATTCATGGCCAATGAAATAGTCTAGGAATTTTCGAAGAAAGACGTTGTAGAATGTAAGAGGATGCGGAGTTCCAACAGTTTGTTACTCTCCACCGAAAAGACCTTTCTTAGATAAAACTATGGTTTCCAAGTATAGACTTTTGAGGATTTTGGGTGGATTTTGGGTGGATTTGGATTTTTGGAGAACCCTTTCATATCACTTTACTTAACTTCGTTACCATCCCTCTCTGATAGTTCAAAAACACAAAACTAACGGTGTCTGTTTTGCGCTTTATTTTTCAAAAAAAAAAAAAAATCAAACATTGTGGAAATTAATTCAATTGCTACTCGGAGCATAAAAAGAACAAATTTCAATATTGTGAATGATTACTTATACAATATTGCTAATGTTTGCTCTCATAAGTAGGCTATCATTTATCATTATTGTTAAATATAAAATAAACAATTGAAAACAAAACGCATAAGAATAATTTTAAAACTAAAAAAAATAATAGTTTGCAAAATGTTAACCGATACTGAAGACGATTTCTTCTACGAAGAAGACAAAATGTAAGTTTCTTGTTAAAAAAGAAAGTTTTGTTCAAAAAAAAGTAAAAAGAAAAAAAGAAGTGGAAAACATATGGGTACAAATTTAGAATTGAATGTTTTTTAATATTTTGTCCTGTTTCGGTGGACATGTGTGTTTGCGTGCGATGGGCCTGTTTGCGTTGACCGCTGTGAATGCTTTTTTGTCTTGGCTTTTGCGTTTCCTAATTTCGCACACTTTTCGGTTACAAATCGATAATTTTCACAATTATTTTTGCAAATTTCTTGTAAAAAACTATTCATTTTTTTAAATATTTTTATATGTAAAAAAATTTTCTTTAAATTTTGTAAATACGTTCATGAAAAGAACTAAATGCAAGATGGAAGAAAGTGCACCATTGCTGCCTATAGAATCGTTGTCGTAAGTACTCAAGTTGTAACAAAGCAATAACTGAGACTGCTGTCTTAAGGTGAATGAAATATAAAAAAGAAGATGTGTTTTTTTTTTATTTTTCAATATATAACTTGTCTTCGAAAGCTTCGATATAGCATCTATCTCTGCGACGAATCCAACAGATACACAATTGGTCCAAAAAGTGCCTTCGTCTACTTCACAATCTAATGAAACATTCGATTCAAAAGCAACAACGACAATATCTACACAACCGGTTGATGATATTTTAGTGACAGACGAGATGGGCGCGACTGTTGTTTGCGCTGGCTCTCCAACGCATAATGAAAGATTTTACGCGTTTGCTAAACAAAAGTTCGAATTAGAGCGATTGTAAGTTGAAATAGAATAAGTTAACTAAATGGATCTCATTTTCACGTAAAAGCTTGCACTTCGCTAGTGTCACTATGATCAAAAAAAAAAAAAAAAATAAATAATTATTTGCAAAATTTTTAATACACATTTCACTCGAAAAGAATCTAAGCTAACATTTGGTTTTAAAAAGATGCACTTACGGGGCATGACCGCAAATCAATCGTGGATATTTTCATTTTTTATTGCCTTAGGCTTAGTAAATTGTAGTCAAATAATCAATTTCTAAAAGCTATTTACTAAAGAAGTAGTAAGTACTTTTTCCTTTTTTCCAAAATATTTACAAGCTAGACTTGCACTTAAATACCGTAAGTAATCGCAAACATGTTCCTACCTACAATATCCCCCAAAAAATTTGATTGAAATATAATTTTCAACATTTAAAGCGGATCTCGCGTTAGTTTCAAAACTTTTTCGGTTTTTTTTTATCATTTTTTTTCAAAATTTTTTCTTAGGGGGATGACGGTCAGTACAAAGTCTGTAGTCATGAATAAAGATGAAAGTAACTTGATTGGCATAAGCATAGGTGGTGGAGCCCCACTTTGTCCTTGCCTCTATATAGTTCAGGTGAGTTTTAATATTATTTTTAACATTTCAATCGCTTTCTTAACATTTATCATTGTCTTCGAAGATATTTGATGGTACACCTGCTGCCCGTGAAGGTTCGTTGGAGAGTGGTGACGAATTATTAGCCATAAATAATGTTAGTGTCAAAGGTAAAACCAAAGTCCAAGTAGCCAAAATGATACAGGTTGCCAGTCAACAAGTGACCATACATTATAATAAATTGCATGCTGATCCTGAACGAGGCAAATCCTTAGATATCATTTTGAAAAAGTTGAAACATCGCATTGTTGATAACATGTCCAGTAATACAGCCGATACCTTGGGACTGTCGCGTGCGATATTGTGTAACGATTCGTTAGTTAAACGATTGGAAGAATTGGAAGGAACTGAGATGATGTATAAAGGCTTAGTGGAGCATGCAAAACGTATGCTTAAAGCGTATTACGATTTGCTGCAAACTTATCGTTTATTTGGTGATTGTTTTATGTGCATTAGTACACGTGAACCTCAGATGAGGGCTTCGGAAGCTTTTCGCATATTTGGCGAATTTCATCGTCATCTAGAGAAAGATGGTCTGGAGATAATTAAACAAATTAAACCCATTTTAGATGATTTGGGCACATACCTGCACAAAGCTATACCGGACACAAAATTAACCGTACGCCGTTACATGGACGCTAAATTTACGTATCTCTCATATTGTCTAAAAGTCAAAGAAATGGATGATGAAGAGCATGGATTTGCCTCCATACAAGAGCCTCTATATCGTGTGGAAACTGGTAACTATGAGTATCGTCTTATATTAAGATGTCGCCAAGACGCCCGCGGTAAATTTGCCAAACTACGAACCGATGTATTGGAAAAAATGGAATTGCTAGAGTGTAAACATGCTAACGATTTAACTAACCAATTACGTGGCTTGTTGAACAGCTTAAAGCAACTAAATCAGTCTGTAGTGCAACGCATGGACAGTTTACCTCATTTGTTTCCTATAGAAGTCGACTTTAAGGAAACGGACTTTCAATATAAATCACAGATATTGGAACCTCAAAAACTCGACGAAGATGAAGATCAGGAAAACGTCCTGCAATCAAGAAATACCTGTACGGAAATAGTATGCGGTTTAGAGGCTGTAGAAGAACCGGCTCCTATTGTCAACATCTGTAAAGAGGAAAATGCTTGTTCGCTGAATGACAATGACTCGCTGCTTAGAGATCTGGGTCTTTTAGGTATAGATTTGAATGCTAAACCGCCTTTATTACTTAATGAAAATCAACATGTAACCGATGACTTTGGCATCATGGCAGGTGCTGCCGCTTTGCCAACGATCAGTAATAATAATAAAATATTCGATTTCGATTTATTTTTAAATCAGTGCCCTTCGACGTCGCCATCAACGGCAACCATTACGAAAAGCAACCCAGAACAAGATCTCATGGCAGTCAACGCGTTAGAGACAGATTTGCTGCTGCAATAAAAGTCCATGATTAGAGTTCATTGTATCTTTATATAATGTAGACTTGTTTTATTTCATTTTGACTACATGGCTCAGATGCTAACTTTTAAATAAAATATATATACATATATACGTACTGATGAAGGAACCCTCCAAAAAACAATTTATTTTTTTTCACAGTTATATTGCAATACCAATTCGTCACTTTTTAAATTCATGCTAGCTAAACGAGAACAAAACGGCTGAAACAAAAGTTATTGTGAATGGCTTTTCACATAAATAACAAACAGTCATAACGCGGAAATAGGAAGCACACGTTTTAAGGCACATTTTTAAAAATTATCTAAATATACAGAAAATCTAAAAGAACCAATTATTGGTTAATTCATCCTTCTCTTTGTAGCAATGTAATATTGAAATAGGTAATAGAAGAAGATCAAGTGAATTGGTTATACTATTGTGAATGTTAACTATAAATAGCGATCAGCTGAAGGTATAACACGCTTCTTTGCAAATGACACATATCGACATTTAATAATGTCACCAAAGTCTTCTAATAAAAAAAAAAAAGCTGTTAGCTGGTATCATTGCGAATTATGTGACGTTAATATAACGTTCAAAGAAAGAGAATGTCATGAGCAGAAATGCCCCATAGACGAGGATGCATTGAAAACTTCCGCGGGCGAGCCTTTAGAGTACATACGAAATGGCGTGTTGTACACAGCGAGTGTGGAGAAAAAGAAATTCGAAATACCTGAATTAAAGGACATGCCCGATCGTTATATCAATCAGTTGATATTTGTATCTGAGGGCGCTATACGTTTATTGGGTTGGCATATAGGGCAATATATTGTTATTGAAACTAATGAAATAAATGAACCTCCTTTAATACGTAGCATATGGCCAATACCAGAAAGCTTCTTAAATACCCTTCTTGTATGTGAAGAAGGTAAGTTGCATACAAAACACATTTTTTTACAAGGACTTGAACATTCTTGCTTTATTTTTAGACTTCACTTTGTATTGGACTAAATTTGCAGGAGAGATTTTACGTGTTCGCGCTTTGCCGGAGGGACAGCCTAGAATAGCTAAATCCGTTTTGTTGCAATTGCAAACACGGGCGCCTGAATTGAGGCTTAATGATAGTGATGAGCCTCTAACCTTGGTAGAGTTGAAAGATTTGAAACGTTTATTAAAATTGGAATTAAAAAATTTCTGTTTCACGTGCGGCAGTCGTGTTCATTTTGATTTCTTCAATAAAGATTTATGGTTTAAAGTTAACCAATGGAATGATGTCGTCGATGATGCGACTTTAGAATCAACTTTTAATAAACTTTCATTGGAAAACAAGAGCCGGAAAACGGTCTTTAAAGTCACAAACATAACCATTTTGGAAATAGACGCACAAGAGCAAACATCAGAAATAGAAAATGACGAGATAGGCAAAATCCCTACATATATGATAACGAGAGAAGACATCGGCGGCTTAACGACAAAGCTAGAAATAGTAGAGGAAACAATGGATTTGGCTTTGGCTCTATGTAAAATTCCAAAAGGTATTTTATTTTATTTATACTAAATATGATGTGGAAATGAAGTTTACCTTTGGTTTTATAGGTGTTAAAATTCCGCGTGGACTTTTACTTTATGGTTCTTCCGGATGTGGCAAAACTATGATATGTGAGGCCATGTGTTCCCGATTACGTGAAAGACTAACTGATACTTCTTCGAAACCTTTAGTACTCAAACTGCGTGGCAGTGAACTTTTCAGCAAATATCTCGGAGAAACGGAGAAAAACTTGTATTCGTATTTCCAGAAAGTCTATTCCCATTACCCCTCGCCCTCCTTAATGATTGTAGAAGATATTCACAATCTATGCCCCAAACACGAAACCACAGAAGTAGTTAAGCGAGTGGCCGTAGCTTTCCTCAATATGCTCGATGCGATGAATAGTAAGCGAGAAGCGCAAAAATGTTTTATTCTAGCTACAACTTCACACATAGAATTATTGAATTCCAATTTAAGACGATGTGGACGTTTGGATCGCGAGCTGGAAATTGCTGCTCCCTCTCCTAGTGGTCGCGCAGAGATCTTGAAATGTCTTTTGAGAAAGTTAGAGAATCACAAAGTGACGTTGGCGGATATTGAAGAGATTGCACAAATTACTCACGGTTTTGTGGGAGCCGATCTAAGTAGTTTACTTTATAATGCTACATTACGTGTTCTCAAAAGTGAACACGCAACTGATCCCAGTTTAACTGCGGAAGATCTGAAAGCTGCATTACATACAGTGAAGCCATCCGCGATGCGTGAAGTGCTTATTGAATGTCCGAACGTCAGGTGGGCGGACATTGGAGGACAAGATGAGTTGAAAATGAAACTAAAACAAGCCATAGAATGGCCATTGAAATATGCTGACCAATTTAAGAAAATGAGTATAAAACCCCCGCGAGGCATTTTAATGTACGGTCCACCAGGCTGCTCGAAAACTATGATAGCTAAAGCATTGGCTACAGAAAGTCAATTAAACTTTCTCTCTATCAAGGGACCCGAACTTTTCTCCATGTGGGTAGGAGAATCCGAACGAGCCGTAAGAGAGGTATTTCGCAAAGCTCGCCAGGTGGCTCCAGCGATTGTATTTTTTGACGAAATTGATGCTATAGGTAGCGAAAGAAATGATGGGGCTTCCGGTGGCTCTGGTAGTTCAGTTAAGGAGCGAGTTCTGACTCAGTTATTAACCGAACTGGATGGAGTTGAAACTCTAGAGAATGTAACGATTGTTGCTGCGACCAATCGGCCAGATCTAATAGATAAGGCTTTGCTGCGACCCGGTCGTATAGATCGCATCATTTATGTGGGTTTGCCAGATGAGAAAGCACGCAAGGAAATCTTTCACATCAAACTTCAAAAAATGCCCTTAGCCGATGATGTTGAAATCTCGACGCTAATCAAAAGAACTGAGGGCTATTCAGGTGCGGAAATTCAAGCAATATGCCATGAAGCAGCCCTCAAGGCGCTAGAAGAAAACCTTGACGCGCACCATGTGTGCCGGCCACAATTCGAATACGCATTACAGACAGTGCAGCCGCGTACAAGTCCTGAGCTGTTGCGTTTATACGAAGAATACATGAAGAAGTCTTAATAAATGTTGTGAGGCAGCGAATTCATTTCGTCTTGAGTTTGATGTTGGGGCAGTTGCAGCCTTTGCGTATAATCCGAAATCGGATTCGTTTCTTTTGAGAAGTCGTACATAAAAATATTAGTTAAATGCCTATAATTTACTTCTTCTTCCTCTTGAGTTCGCTGTGAAGATTCAGACGGTTTGCTAAAAGTATTATTTGGATTTTAGATTTGCTAAACCTATAGTTGATTGTTCTTACCTCTTCGTATGCTTCTTTAAATGTCTGGTTAAAGCTGAAGACTGATTAAATTTCCAAGGACATAAAGCACATTGATAAGGTTTTTCGCCAGTATGAGTTCTGCAAAGTAAAGTGTACAAGCATATCCATATGTAAAAAACATGGAAATGTGTGCTTAAATACTTTCTCTTAATGCCTTAATTAAGACTACATAACCAGAGCCAACTTAAACTTAGAAAATCATCTAAATTGATCCATTGGCCCTGATACATTTACCATCCTCTTCGATTACGACACCAAGCCATGTTTCTTAAATTTCATTGGTTGCATTCAAGTGAAACTTTAAAATGACCTAAATTAACCCAATCGCTCAATGTCGCTACACGGACCTTATGAGATAAAATCAATAGTATAGTTAGTTAGTTTATGCAGTTGATTCGTATTCCCTCGTTTACATAATGATTCCCTATCCCTTGCGGTTAAGCTGTAACATCGTATAAGTATTTGCGGCCACTACGAAAAGGCCATTAAAGCCTCTTCGAAAGACGATTTTGTGTTTTTATACCCTACCACCCTACCACTATACTTATGATGGAATGGTATATTAAGTTTGTGTGTGTTCTATGCAACATCCAGGAAGGCTTGAAACGGACCCAATTTTGTGATATGAACTTAATCTCAAAAAGAAAGTTGAATAAATATATGAAAATGGCCAAAAAGGCAGTTCGGTTACATTCACTGTAACTTGGAGTTGCGCTAACTTAATATAACAGCGATTGACATAAGCAAAAGTGTGAGTATAAACTTAATCAGGTAATTAAAGAGTTCTTAATAAACCAAATAATTTATTCAATTGTTTAGAGCGGCAATTATCAATGGTTTTACCATAAAATGAAATTCCGTTGTTTATTTATGATTTTAATCGTTTCGTTTTGTTAGAACCTATATTTCGATACTTACGGAACGGAAATTTTTCCAAATAATTTATTTACCTTATGTGTGATATCAAGTTGGAACGTTTACCGAACACCTTATCGCATTCATTGCATTTATGTCGGCGGATGCCGCGATGTACGGTCACCATATGAGCATTCAGATAGCTGCCCTTGTTGAAACCTCTTTGGCATATACTGCAAATAATATCCTTAATAGTTTTATGTATCGGTTCATGACGCCGAAGTTCTCGTTGTGATTTAAATGTACGCTGGCATTGTTTACACTTGAAATTACGCTGCTCGCAATGCGTGTGTCGATGAGCTTTTAAATTGCTTGATGTAGTAAAGAAAGCGGCACATATTTCGCATTGATAACGACGATATGAACTTATATTACTTGCATTACTTTCATTATGTGCAATTATAGTATCATCACAATAGTGTGAAAGTTTTGCTGTCTGTCCATGAACACGTTGATGTAGATGCAGTTTAGTTGATTGCGAGAACTCGCGAGCGCAATGCTAAAAAACGAAAGAGATTGCATTCATTCAATTTGCCAAAGCTTAAGCTATTTTTTTGCTTTACTTTTTTTAGGAAATAAATATTTTTTTATCAAATGAACGTAAAAACTTCTCTATATGATATCAAAAATACAAATTTTTGGACTTTGACCTGTTGCTTTCAAATTATTACCGGTTTAAAGTTATATAATAAGCAAATTTGAGAATAAGAGACTAAAGTTACACTTGTCTAAATATGTAAATAATTAAGAACATTTTTGTTTAAATATGTAAACAGTTAAAAACATTACAGTCAGACAACGTCGACTATTACATACCCTACACCACTTCACCTATTTCGCTCGTTTTGGTAATAACATACTAAAAAATACATACACATATTTTTATGCAAACCCGCTAAGCGTTCAATAGCGTTTGGTCCGTCCTTGGACCAAAATATGTCTGCGTAATAAATTTCATCAAAATAGCTCAAAAATTGCGACTTGCAGCTTACACATAACAATACATGTACAGTCAGACGGACAGACGAATTCATTTTCTGAATTGATTGGTCTAAGAAAAGGTGAGTTTGTCTAAAACCGTTCTAGATTTTACATACATCCGCGCTAACTTAATATTACCTGCATCGCCGGTTGTGTAAGATGTAAAATGCTAGACAAATAGGACCCTTCCAAAGTAGACGCATTGGGTTGCTTATGTTTAGGCTTGTGTGCAAATTAATAAAACTTTGAAAAATCCGAAAAGATATACGAGAATATGAGCAAACTGTTCCAGAATATTTATCATATCTCAACATCATTCACGGGTATATAAGAAGAGAAATATTCATTTACTTATTGTCCATTAAAGGCTATGACTAGTTAACATACTTGAGAAAGTGATTGAACAATCGCCCAATGAATCATTTGCAAGCAAACAAAAAGTATTCTTCCCGGATATATTCATTTTATATTCAATGCAACAAACTTTCCAAAGACTTGTTAACACATTCTCCGTGAAAGGCGAGAACAAAGATATATTGACCAATTTTAGATAACTTCCATTAAAATTTCTATAGTGTATGATTAATTTGGACTGTGCTAGTTTTAGCTGAATAAAACCAAAGTTATTTGAATAATTTCTGATCTGATATACAAGGAATTTTTACTTAGTATTTACTACAAATTTCAAACTCTTGGCCTATCCTCTAAAGTAAGAGGGAGCATCTTTTATGCCTGCCACAGAAGCATGCAAGCTAGATTTGTCCTATCGTTTGTCAATATCAAAAAATAAGCACCAGAGATCCAGCGAAATGGATAAATTTTGTTAATCGGCCTAAGATTCTAAGTCGTTCTTTCGTCTCCCCCTTGTCGAAATGTGTACGACCGCAAAACTTGAGATAAAAAGTTGAAAGTTGACGTATTTACTGTTGGTTGAAGGCTAAAAGTAGAATTTGAAATTGGTCCCAAGTTCTAACTATGGACTAATAGACCATAATATGCGGAAAACTATAAATTGCATTGCCTTGAATTTTATTTCAGATCATGTATTTCATTACAAATGCATGCAGAACTTTATCAATTTCCTTTTACTCTTCCAAATGTTTCGCTTGGTATATCCATTTAACTAAATGACGAAATATGCTCTGTTGCAATTCGTATTATTATTGTAATTATATAATGATATGTGGCGTTAAAATGGTTCTAGGTTAAGGGTAATATGATTCAAGGGAATTCCCCATTTAGTTTATATAGTCAGCAAGATCGTATGGCCATATTCATATATCTTGTCCCTCGTTTTCTCTGGTCAATTCGTACCGCGCCGTAAGCAAACTTATTTTTTTATTCATTCATTTCGACTAAGATCTAATGTAATAATAGAAATTTGTACGTAATATTAATCAAGCATTGATGCATTTCCCATAATTAAGGGCTTCTACTTACTTCACTTAATTGATATTCACGTCATGTAGAAAGAGATTATTTGATTTCTGTTCAGCCCAATCAAAAGCAAGACAAGGTGAAGTCAACTAAAATTTGTCTAACAGTTGATAAGGTATCAGTTAGTTAGTAATTGCGTATATTATTTAAAAAAAAAAAAAAAAAAAAAAAAAAAAAATTGAATAAATAAATAAATAAATCATTGCATATTTCAGTGCATAAAAGTCAATTAAAAATAAATCAAGAAAATATTGGACACCTAGTTAAATACGATATATTCATCAATATTATACTGATGGTCACGTCAAAAAATTGGTTATTATTATTTGTTATTATCGAACAGAATTTTGTATGTATTTACAAGGGTGCTACAAGTTCGACTATATGTTTCCCAATTAGTTTTAATAGAAAAAAAGGTCTTCAATAAAATTGTTTCTTTATACTCTCAGTACAGCTAGAACAATTCGGAAAGAAAACAGCGCAAGAAAATTATACATATATATAAAAAAATCGCTGCTGTGTAGAAATGTAGAGAAGAGTAAAATTCGTAAGAGAGAAAATTAAGAGTAAATGAAATGAGTTTATAAAAGTTTCGTTGCTTGGAGTTTTTGTCAATTGTTAGTATTTTCTTCGAATTACGTTTGCTTTAACAGTTGTTTAATGGTAGCGCTAATTAAACGATGTTGTTTCCGTGAAGCGTGTATTATAATAATTTGATAAATTTCAAGAAAACGTTTATAATTAAAATTTAAATACTAATTAAAAAGCAAGTTTGCATATATATAAATAACACAATTATGCAAACGTGGGCTTCTATTTCAATGCTGTTATGCATTTTTGGCTTTTTTCGCGAACTAAGGCCTTCAGAGCCTTTTGTTACCGAGTTTTTGACCAGTGACTTTCGAAACATAACTAGTGAACAATTAAATCGCTTGGTATACCCTTTTGGCACTTATGCTGTATTCGCTCAATTAGTTTTAGTGTTCCTGCTTACTGACATGTTGCGTTATAAACCAATTATTATTTTATCAGCATGTGCGGGTATTGCCCTCTTCGCCATATTACTTTGGACGCGCAAAATTTGGGAATTACTTATAGGACAAATATTCTATGGCACATTTATGGCTAGCGAAGTTGCTTATTATACATACATTTACGCTAAAGTAGAAAAAGAGCACTATCAAATCGTTACCGGTCATACACGTGCCGCTATATTATCCGGGCGATTCTTGGCAGGAGTATTAGCGCAAATATTAATATCCACCGAGAGCATGAACTACCGCCAGCTACATTACATATCATTCGGACTGCAAGTTGTATCTTTCTTTGTCTCTGTAACTCTACCTCCGGTAAAGCAAAGTGTATATTTTTATAGAATAGAGGACAAAAAGGATCACGGCAGAGAGCTAACTATAAGTACTGACATATTATTTAGGTACGCTTTACTCTTCTATCGCATACACACATACATCTTTTTATTTTAGCCCCTTCTGAACCAATTAAAGGAACATTTGCCTGGCGAAAAGCTTTCAAGTTGCTTATGAAGCATGCTATTAGCGGCTACACAAATGCCACTGTAATAAAATGGAGTATTTGGTGGTTATTAGCTACCGCTGGTCAATTGCAAGTCATCAGTTACGCTCAAATCCTTTGGAAAGAAATTAAAGGAAGCGAAAGTGTATATAATGGAGGTGTTGAAGCAGCTGCAACGTTGCTGGGCGCTGGCGGTGCGCTGGCTGCCGGTTCAATGAAATTTTCCTGCTACAAATATGCGTATAACTTAATAATAATTGTTGGTTCCTTAGTAATGGGCAGTTTACTCATTATTTCAAGCATCGTTGAAGACGTGTGGCTCGCCTATGCCACGTATGTGCTATTTTGCGTTATCTTTTACTTTGTTATCACTAGTGCTGGTGCAACAATAGCCACACAATTGTGTGACGACAGTTTTGGCTTGATTTTCGGCATTAATACCTTTTTAGCTTTAGCTGCGCAAAGTCTATTAACGCTTCTAGTGGCTACGGACACCCTGGGGTTTTTTTTAAACCTTCGATCTCAATATTTAATTTATGGTTATTATTATATAAGTATATTCATTCTGTATTGTCTATGGGATTTTGTGGAAAACTTTATGCGACGAAGGGTAAATTGATTAAATTAAGAACAATTCACTGTTTGTCAGAGTAGAAATTAATTGTAAGTCAGTGCGTCTTTATAAATTTACTTAATAATTGTCTTTTTTTCTTTATTATTTGAAATAAATACGAAACTTGGCAAGCGCAATAATATTCCGTACCTGGCATTTGTAAGGTTTTTCTCCACTATGTACGCGTTTGTGTATTTCTAAATAGCCCCTGTAGTGAAAGATTTTTCCACATTCCAGACATTGATCAGGTTTCTTTGCTGATTTACTTTTTTTCGCTTTTCCTGTTGAATTGATAATACCATGATTTTCTTTAATCTCGACATCCCGACATATAGCGTTATTTTGGAGTGTTTCAATGTGTGGTATTTTTCGGCAGCTCAGCATATTATTATTATGGGTATTTTTGGATACAAAAACATCGCTTAGGGTATTATCATCCGCTTCGGAACGTGTTAAACTGCTAACATCAATTTCAACATCATTCAGCAAATCCACATCATCATTACCTCCAACCTCTATTAATTCATTAGAGGCAATTTCGTTGCGAGGGAACATATCACGTAGATCGTAAATGGGCTCTACATTCAAGTCAATTTTGTTGTCATTGCAATCATTCAAATTACTGTTGAGATTAAATTGAATTTATTTGTTATTAATATTCGTAATTACATTAAAATCAAATATTTAGTCAATTTAATCTCACCTGCAAACAGTGCTTCCGATTGAATTTAAACCTAAATACTCTCGTAAACGTTGTTCAGACGCTTCAGCTAATTGCTGCAAATTATACGCATCCAAAAGGCGATATAAACATGATTGACATAGAAGAGTTGGTAAATTTTCGTCGATTGGTAGCTGATAATTACCCTTAGCATATAATTATTTTATTAGTAAAATATTTAAATATCAGCGATACCTTAAACATTTGCAATTTCTCTATCATTTCTACAGGCGTTATCAAAAATGTCGGGCTATAGATTGACACCAATATGTCATTCTTCAAGCAAATTCGACAAATCTTATGTAATTCATATAAAGGCAAACTCTCCATAACTTGTTTTTTATGACTTATGTTTTGTTTAATTAATCATTTGTTTAGTTAACAGAAGTAAGGCGATGAAACTTTTTCTACTTTTCAAGTGTAAACATTTGCTTTTTTCGGATGGATAACGGAGTTGCCAAGTCGCGAAATATTAATGAGTAATAAGAAAATAATTCACAATAATCTCACTGCGCATTGGACATACACTTTATTATAGATATTAAATTTAATATCAAGAAATGTACACATATTAGCCATAAAATTTTGTAAATATAATCAAATTTGTTTCTTAGCTATTTATTATGGTATATGATTCGCCTTGAATTGAAATATCTACGTATTATTTTTACGTTCTGTCCAAAGCAATGCGTTGCTGCTGTTATTTATTCATTGACTTATGATTAACGGCGCCTACATTTTTCATTTGATTTTCACTCTTTAAAGTTTCTCAAGCTCCATATCATATATTGTTTTTTTAAAAATGTTTTTTGGAATAAATGCATATTTTGACATAAAAATTATGACAACAAAATAAAATATTTAAAACTTACAAATCAATCAGATATTCTTATGTAAGGAATTTTGACCTGCTTTTGGTGTGATGTAGAAGCCAGGAAGCCATAATTTTGTTTGACCAATCTTACAAAACCCTTTTCCTTACCTGATAGAGCAGGAGTATCAGTATCACAGGCATTTTCGAAATAAACATTAGCGGGCGGAAAAAATATTCTATTCCCCCTCTTTCTCTTCATTCTGAAAAGATAGTAAGAAACAAAATAATTATTAACATTTCGATGAGATAAAAATGACTGCTATAACCGAGAAATTCATGCCGAGAAGCAACTCTGAATCCTTATAACTTCTACAGTATGGCAATATTGGTCTAATCTATTATACCCTTCCTTTAAATAGAGGCATATGAAGCTCCGAGTCATTTGTGATTAATATATACAGCAGAAAAATTGCAATCACTTAAATCAGCTGCCGTAATAAATACTGATTTCTCAAGTTATAAGAAAACAAAAAAAAAAAAAAACATACCGAATACAAAGTTTCTACATATAACACACTTGCTATTAAGATAGTGATTATTCAAAAGTCGACCTTAGCTGACTTACTATTGTATATTTGCCTCATTAATGTTCTCTGATATTGATTGAAAAAGTGACGTTTTACGAACAGTAGTAGAAAAATTTTCAATTCATAAGATAACTTCGGAAGGAATTTGCAAATTAAATGTTCAATTATATTAAGAAAAATTCAATTTAATTATAGAAAAGTAAAAAGTGTTGCTTTAGTGTTTTGTAAAAAAAAAAAAAAAAAAAAAAATCAAATAATGTTGGCAAAAAGTTCATTAAAATTTTCATAAATTAGTTAGGAAATTATCATTGGAAACATTTGTAAAATTTCTCTCTCTGAATAATTTAGTGATGAAGCGGTAAAAAATTTATCTTTCCTTTTGCTGATAAAAGCAAAATTTGGAAAGCCGAAAAATTTCTTTTAATATCTTCATCATAGCACATAAATTTTGCTGATTTCACATATACACACACAACTATACACATGTGAACATATTTCTGTGCGTAAATTTTTCTATACATTTGCTTATTTCGTATATACAGAGCAAGAGACGAAAAGGATTAGAACAACGCTCGTACATATATACTGGCATACAAATAACTCTCAATTAAACGAACGAACTACTTAAAAACGGAGCAGTTTAAGTGCAACAATAAAACTAAACAAGCAGGTGGTGGGAGTAAACAGGAACGTAAAGGAAAAAGAATATAGAATAAAAAATCAAAAAAACAAAAAAAAAATCAAGATTGGAAGAATATCACCTACACAAAAAACAAAAAAAAAAAAAGAAGAAAAAACAACTAGAACAGCAGTATCTACATATGCATGCTACGTTCATTAAACTATTGATGTTACAACAAATACTGAAACGTCAAATAGTAGAACAACAGAAATTTTAAAACCCGGCCAAGAAAAGTACTACATAGATGCTTAAGTATGTGCGGGGAAGTATTGGCACTCAAAAGATAAGCACTAGAGCAAAAAAAAAGTGTCTGATATCCCGAGTGCAGAGTTCTGCTTAAAACCAATTTAATAGTTTTCTGTAATCATAACAAAAAACCAGCTAAACAATTGCTCTTCTGACGACTGTCCCTGCAGCAGGAATTGTTGAAGAAGAATTTTTGAACAGAAAAAAAACTAAAGAGTTATCACGTCTTTTTTTTTTGCTGTTGTTGCGTATTACAACAACAACAATAATAACAATAACATCTTCATAACGCAAAGTGTGTCACAAGTCACTCCAATAGTAAAAACTTAAGTGCATTGTGTGCCATATTTTGTTTTATGCTTCGAGTAGTGTGAAAAGCAAACACAAAGGAAGCGTTATCGCAGATAAATCGGAAGAAAAAAACACCCATTTTTTATTTACGAGCAATTAGGAGAACGAAGAAATAACAGCCACATTATGAATACGTTACCCGATCCCTGGGTTATAACCCAGCGTGAAAAGTTAAAATATCAGGACCAATTTAAGGCTTTACAACCTCAAAACGGTTATGTGACCGGAGGTCAAGCAAAAGGTTTCTTTCTGCAATCACAATTGCCGCCTTTGATACTTGGTCAAATATGGTGAGTCAATCATGAACGTAGTAAATAATAGTTTTTTAATTAATTTTATTTAGAGCAGTCTAATTTGTTGATCATGATTATAGTGTTTCGTTACGACGTTTGGTTGAGAATTACCGAATGTAAGACGACGAAAAATAGAATGTGAAAGAGATGTGTTTGCCACGGTTGGCGGAAATGAACTTGAATGATTACACTCCTAAATTATGCAAAACAAGTAAGAACATGAAAGTCGGGCAAAGCCGACTACACCCTACACCACTTCGCCTAATACAGTTATTCACTCAATATGATAATAATACATCAAACGTTACACATGATTTTCTTCCAAAGACATACCTTTGCATATTGGAAGAATGGTAAGATTGATTTCTTTGCCAATCTAGTGTTATGAACTAATTTTCACCATAAAATATAAACAGGTATATCATTACACTATGCAAAGATTCGATTTTACCAAAATTTTCATATCAATTTGGAATGTCCAAATACTATGACAATACTACTACAAAGAGAGTTTTAACGATATATTTTGAAGATAGCAATTTTATTCAAAATAGCAGCTTTTCAATAGAAAAACTGCTCGGGTTCGTAACATCTTCAACAGCGCTCGTCCTTGGGCCGAAGCGCATTGGTGTTCCAAAATTCATCAAAATATGTCGAAAATTGCGATCTGTACACATTTGTGAACACAAACTTACGTGGATAGAATGATTTTCTGAATCAATCGGTATAATAAAAATGTGTGTCCTATCCGCGTGTTACGCATATCCGCATAAACTTACCACTTCTATAAAACGTTCGAATGGTCGAAAAGTGATGTTCGCAATATTTCATTTTATAAGCGCTAAATGCACATTTATGATCTCTAACATACCTAACTAAGGTCGCAGTTTTTGATATGATATATTTTCTATACATTTCAATTTTGGAGTGATTTCCACCCTACAAAAAAAGTTTATTTTCGTTTCGTGTTTATGTACATTAAAAATAGAGATTCACTACTGCGTCAATATTTTTATACCTATCATTTTGTAAAAATGTTTGCAACATCCGAAAGGAAACTTCAGTGAGCCTACAAAGAGTGTATATTAGTGATCAGCATCAAATTCTGACTCGATTGAAGCACATCCGTCTGATCGTCTGCGTAACATTCTCCTGCAGCAATATTGGGAGTTCTTGCCCCCACAGCATGTGACTGAAAATCAGCCAAATCATTTAGATGGCACGCCTACTGTGCTTCGAAAAGTCAGAAAAGCTCTGCTTTTCAATAGGCGTAAAAAGTTTGTTTGTTATCTCTGTTAATTGTGTTGTCTGTTTAAGGATAACGTTTGGTCACGGCTGAACATAATTTTCTTACTTGTTTGCGAGTGCTTTTATTAGTGATGCGTTTAACAAAGAAAGCTAATGAAAAGGCAAAAAGCCCATTCCATCGGGAAATGATTAATAGTCTTTAGCTAATCTTAAGCTTTATCTTCCTTTTATGCATAAATTTCCTAAATATCATTCGCACACATTGCTTCATTGCTTCGTATATGCATTGGCATCAATCCAACGTTCATTGTGACAGTTTACAACAACAACGATTGTACCACTTATCTGCCATTGGTAGAATAATAGCATTTTTTTTATTTCGTTGTTTAAAAGCAAGTTCAGAAAGAAATCTAATCCTTCATGTTGAGATTTGTGTTTCTGCAAATTCCTTCCCTTAAGCTGCTTACCCATAATGAGAGAGCTTTCAGAGCATTCTCTATTTAACCCTTTCTCCGCTAAGCCAGACAGTGTGGCACACTTAATAGTCTGCTTTTTTTTTATTTGGAGTTAAAAAATCCATTGCAGTCTTAATAATAGACACATATCGTAGACTTATTGCTGGCAATTTTTTCTTTGCTTCCCATTAGACGTTGATTGCACGCAACGTAATATATTAAGTGAATTTTATTTAGTTTGTAACGGAAAGAGTTGTGATCCGTTTACGTTCGACCAGCAAGTGGCAAATGACATCTCACTGACGCATCTATAACAGGAAGCGTTTATTTATTCTTCCCATTATTGGAAATATTGTCGTTTCTTTACAACCTCTGCTCGAACTCAAGAGCCTACTCAAGTCACAGGAATAAATTAATTGCTCTCTTCGGCATTTTGCATTATCTTGACCGAAGGAACTGCGTGTTCTGTGACAGTTGTTATTCTCAAGGAATATCCTTAATCATCAATATGTTGCATACCTGTTTTCCTTTAATATTTAAAAGTATTATATGACGTCAGCAATGTAGTTGATTATGGACGATCGTCGAATTCGAAAGAGAGTTTTGGTTTTCATCTTGTTTAATGGGAAAGGTATCTTAAAGCAATCATTGGCGCACGAGCACGTTGTTCTCTCTCTCTCTAATCAATTTTTGTAGGCTATCTTGGCAAGCGTTGGGAGTTTTCATAACAACAGCAAAAACGAGATTTTGTCTTTAAATGTTAGGAACACAAAATATTGTATTAGTCGATATTACTGCCAGATGGGCAAATCGTTGCACGTTCCATTAGAAACGTAAACGAATTGTTTCGCTTTTGTTTAAATCTAAGCAATTCTTGAATGTTTGCTTTTCAGGGCATTGGCTGATACCGATTCGGATGGTAAAATGAATATAAATGAGTTTAGCATTGCTTGCAAATTGATTGGTTTAAAATTGCGTGGCATGGAAGTGCCTAAGGCTTTGCCACCCACGTTATTAGCTTCGTTGTCTTCAGTTGGCACTACACCTACTATGACACCCACCGGTCCTGGTAGCTTAAGCCCTTTGGACCCAGCGAAATGTATACAGAGTGCCGTATCACCATTAGTTCGGCCAACAGAGATAATTGCGACCACAGCAACAGCAGCAACTGCGGCAACAGTAGCGCCTATTGTTATGGCTGGGGGAGTTAAGCCAACAATTGTGCCCGGCATTATACCAGCGGCTATGACTAATATAGTATCACAACCAAATATGCCAACACCGGCTGTAGCGGCCGCAGCTATAACAGTGCAACAAATGCCGGGTGCAGTTCCGGTGATACCACCAGCCATACAGCCAGGTATAATACCTGCTGTTGGATCAGCGGTTCCTAATATGTCTATGGTATCCGGTGCGGCACAACCTGGCGTTGTTGCCGTGGTGCCATCACCACCTGTCATGACGGGAGTAATACCCGGGGCTGCGGTTTCCCCATCAGGTCTACCTGTAGCAGCAGCGGTTATACCACCTTCGTCTATTGCCAAGGTTTTGTCGCCACCACCAACAGAAGTTAAAACTTCGACAACGCCTACACCACCCCAGAGTAATCCTCCCAGTCGCAATATGTCGATATCGGAACGCGCTCCTTCCCTAGAATCACCGTAAGTTTAAAAAACTTGTTTTAATGACGAAAGTCGTTCATAATTTAAAAAATTTCGCCCAACAGACAAGGGGAGTGGGCTGTTAAAGCTCCAGCCAAACGAAAATACAGTCAGGTCTTCAATGTTGCTGATCGCAATCGTACCGGATATTTGACTGGCGTGCAAGCACGTGGTATATTGGTACAAAGTAAATTGCCGCAAGCCACTTTGGCTCAGATTTGGACTTTATCCGATTTAGATTGTGATGGACGTTTGAGTTGTGAGGAGTTCATTTTGGCCATGTTCCTATGTGACAAAGCCATGAATGGTGAAAAAATACCACCTGCCTTACCAGTCGATTGGATACCACCCAGTTTTCGTAAAAGCAAATCACGTCAAAGTTCAATATCGGGACCTGGCTCTCGTCCGGGCTCGCAACCGGTTTCACGTCACGCTTCTGTTTCATCACAAGGAACTGTGGACGCTGATCCGGCTGCAGGTCTGCCACAAAGTAAATAGAAATGTTCCGAAATAAAATTAGGAAATTATATAAGATTTCTTAACGTATTCCACTAGCCACTTTTGAAGATAAACGTAAAGAGAACTTTGATAAAGGACAAGCCGAATTGGATCGAAGACGTAAGCTGTTGCAAGAACAGCAGCGCAAAGAGAAGGAAGAACGCGAACGTAAAGAACGTGAGGAGGCAGAGAAACGTGAAAAAGCCCGTTTGGAGGCCGAACGTAAACAGCAAGAGGAACTTGAACGACAATTGCAAAAGCAACGTGAACTTGAACTCGAAAAAGAAGAACAAAGAAAACGTGAATTGGAAGCAAGAGAAGCAGCACGAAAGTATGCTAATAGAGCTATTATAAAATGTTATAGTCAACTGATCGTTTGTTTGTTTCATTTTTCTTAACAGAGAACTCGAAAAACAACGGTTGATGGAATGGGAGCAACAGCGCATAGCCGAATTGAATTCACAGAAACAACGCGAACAAGAGAGAGTATTAAAGCAAAAGGCACAGAATACTCAACTGAATGTGGAATTGAGTACATTAAATGAAAAGGTTCCTTCAACTTTCTCAAACTTAACATTATATTGATTTTTAAAAAGTATTATTGAACTAATTCGCAGATTAAGGATTTATCTCAAAAGATTTGCGAAACAAGGGCTGGAGTTACCAATGTTAAATCGGTTATAGATGGCATGCGCTCGCAACGTGACAGTTCAATGACAGAAATGTCACAATTGAAAACTCGTATTAAGGAACAAAATGCTAAGCTTCTGCAATTGACCCAAGAACGGGCAAAATGGGATGCTAAGGTTAAAGCGGCCGGTAATACGTTTGACGCGGGACAACAAGAGCAATTCAACGCCGCTTTTGCCAATAAACAGGTAAACGAGGAGAGGGATTAGAAAACTCTCTTTTAACTTTAATGATATTAATTTTAAAAAATCTCTACTTTCCTTATAAGCTTATTATCAAACAATTGAAAGATAAAGTGGAAAACATAAGAAAAGAAATCGAAAGCAAAAAGGAAGACATTAATTCACACGATTTAACGGTTACGGAAGTTAAAGGCGAATTGGGAGCTCTGATAAATAAATGTGAGGAATTGTATAGCGATTATGATGCACAACGTACTCATGTTTTAGAAATGAAATATAATAAAAAGAATGAGAACGTGTCTGCTACATCAGCTTGGGATACAGGGTCTGCTTGGGGTACCACCACAACTACGAGTATTGATCAATATGGTTTGAGTAATGATAACACAAATGAATTAACTGCTGAAACCATTGTGAACGCTGTAGATACCAGTGAACCTGCACCCGAAGGCTTCGTTAAATATCGAGCTGTTTACGAATTTTCGGCACGAAATGCAGATGAGATTTCTTTTATGCCGGGAGATATCATTCTGGTTCCATTAGAGCAAAATGCTGAACCTGGTTGGTTGGCTGGCGAAATCAGTGGGCATACCGGCTGGTTTCCGGAAACTTATGTCGAAAAATTAGAAGAGGTTGACACTGCTCAGACTTATGCAGCACAAGACACCTACAATGATAACAGCCAAAATTATGAGTAAGTCCGTAAATAAACAGAAAATTATTTATGCCCCATTTTTGCTGGTTTCTCTGTCTGTTGTTAAGCAACTAGTTTTACATGAGCCAAGACTGTGTGATGCCTACGTTTTTTAAGTAATGACTCACTTTGGCAAAAATTCACTTAAATTGCGCGAAGAAGATTTTAATACGAAGTAAACGATCTTTAATTAACATAACGCCATCATTAAAAAGCAGTTACAGTGGCAGAACATTTATTATCCTTAGCACTTTTGTCAATGTTCGTATAAGCAATCGTAACAAGTCTATAGTAAAATATAAATTTTTATTAAGTTAAATTATTCGAATTAGATAAAATAGCGAATTTATATTCGCATATTTTCGTAGAGAGTATATTTACATATAATGTTAACGTTATATTTAATTAATATAATTTTATACAAACAAAAAAAAAAAAAACATCTTTTAGAAGCACAACCGTGGAGGCTACGGAAGTTAGTGGCGACAATGCTTACAATGGCGAGGTAGAATATTATATAGCCGCCTATCCTTATGAATCGGGAGAAGTAGGCGATTTGACTTTTAGTGCCGGTGAAATGATTATGGTAATTAAAAAAGAAGGTGATTGGTGGACTGGTACTATCGGGAATCGTACCGGCATGTTCCCATCGAATTATGTGCAAAAAGCTGACATCGGCTCCTCAGCACCCACCGCAGATACTACAGATCTTAATCAAGCCTACGATCATCAAAAGGTATGCTTCTCTAACTAAGTAATACTACAAGCAATATATTATGTGTGTTTCTATTATTCACTAAGGTGCATTAATTATAATCTAATAAATCATTGATCGTTTGTTTGTTTGTCTGTTTTACGCTGCGCATTATTCCCTTATCTTGCATTTGTCTTTTTCTCTCCTTTTTCATTTTATGATATGTTTCAATATATATATATATAGGATAATACAATGAACGGTAATGCTCAAGATGAATTTGCTGCTAACACTGCTTTGCAAGATCAACAGCCACCACAACAAACAGAACCACTAACAAATGATATTAACATTCCTGCCTCTGTATCCTCACAACAATACAATCTTCAAATGCATACAGAAAAGGTAGCTGCTGCGGCGGCAGCTGCCGAAGAAACACGTACAAACGAAGAACTAGACACAGAAGTTTCACAAATTAATACACAATCGAATCAGAAGATCAATCAGCAAACGAATGAATCGTCAGAATCATATAGCCGGCCCATGTCACGCACTTCTTCCATGACTCCTGTAATTATTCTTTTTTTTTTTTTCTATTTACACTCATTAAATATATCTATGCGGTATTCGATCCATATATACGTTTCCCATTTTAATGTTTTATTTTAACTAATTTTTTTATGCTTTTTTTTCCTATTTCTAATAAAGCAGGGTATGCGAGCAAAACGCTTTGAAATCGCTCAAGTTATTGCTCCTTATGATGCCACGAGCTCCGAACAATTGTCTTTAGTGCGAGGACAATTGATAATGATACGCAAAAAAACTGACTCGGGTTGGTGGGAAGGTGAACTTCAAGCTAAAGGACGCCGGCGTCAAATAGGCTGGTTCCCTGCAACTTATGTAAAAGTATTACAAGGCGGTCGCAATAGTGGTCGCAATACTCCAGTATCTGGAAGTCGTGTGGAAATGGCTGAACAGATATTAGGTAAACATCGTTGTAATTTCTTCGTCTTTCAATAATATTCAATCATGTTTCCATTCCAATTTCAGATAAAGTAGTTGCTCTGTATCCTTACAAGGCGCAAAATGATGACGAGTTATCATTCGATAAAGATGACATAATCAGTGTATTGGGCCGTGATGAACCGGAATGGTGGCGTGGTGAATTGAATGGTCTTACCGGTCTCTTTCCCAGTAATTATGTGGGTCCCTTTGTTACTTCTGGTAAGAAATCGAAAGGCAAAAAGTAGTCTTTATCCAAAACACTTTCTCCTGCCTTAAAAAACTCTTAGAAATTCTTTCCGCGAGAGCTTTCGCACGTTTAGAAAAATTTTATTTTTTATTATAAAGAAATTATATTTTTTGTAACATTTACTATTTATATGGCGTTGTTTGAATCATTCCTTTGGCAAATCTTTTTTTTTTTGCCTCTAGTTTAGTCAATTTTATTTTTACAAATATTTTTTCATCATATTTTGCGTTATTATATCTAAAATTAAACTGTATTTTAATCTAAGCAAATCAAATATTTCCCTGTTAATTATTATTGGTTATTTTTTTTTTTATTATTATCAAAATTTTTAGTTATATATATATTCATATGTTATATTTAATACATTTTTTTTTTTTTTGTTTACAAGATATAAAAAGTAATTATGTTAACAAAATGTGGCTTAGTAATCAATTGAAAACAAAAATTATGATAATAATCAACAAAGATTTTAAGTGAAATGTCGAAATTATTGTACATTAGTGTAGTAAAAATATGTTAACATTCTTTACAAATATTTTGTTTAGAATTTTTTCCTTTTTTTTTTTTCTGTTTTGTAAATGAAATTAATCATAATTGAAAAATCGATGAGAAATTATTTTTATTTTGAAACATATGCAAGCAAACTCTAAAAATTTATTATCTTGCTATCATATGCCTGGCATAGGAAATAAGCTTGGTGGCTTTTATGTCAATTGCATTCTGAAGGGATGCACATGTACATTTCTAAGTCGGACCTTGTTTTAATGTTATTAAAACTTTTTTTTTCAACGTTTTATGCTGGTTTTAATTTCACCATTCAGTGCATTAAGGCACAATTTCGGAATTATTCTCTGCATGAGTTCCTTATTCAAGTTTTTCACCTAAATGGCAAGCAGCGATTTTTCTTTTTTTGATAATACATTGTTAACCAAGATTTCGAACAATAATTGAACAATGAATTTGAAAAAACTCTTCTACGATCGTGCTTTGCTCGTTAATTTCTACTGAAGTATGGGTGAATCCTAATCCTAATCCTATTGCAAGTGGTAGGATACTGATGAAAATATTTCGAAACCATCGTCGTGTTCGAGGTTGCCGCCTTAACATTTCAGTTATTTTGAGAGGTGGAGAACGTAATCCTAGTCCTATTTTGAAATATTCTGAAATTTTCGTCATTTTCGAGGTTGTTTTAACATTTCAGTCATAGTGTGTGGATGAGAGTAATTTCCCCAATTTCAACTGTTGTGGCTTTAAGAATGCCGCCAACGAACGGTGGGTCGGACAAGGGAATGTGTTTTTAATTCGTCGACATGGATCACCTATCCATTTCAATTTTGATTAAGAGCATGCCTCTGCTACAAAATTTCGCTACTTTATGACTTTTAGCTATCGAGAGACAGACAGGCAACCGTAACTGGGTAAAAGCGAGTAATCATTTGGAGATGGGTATAAAATATGTCTCGATTTTAAATAAACGCTATTTAAGCTTACGCTCTATAATATGTTAATTTCAAGATGTTGTAAAACAGTAAGTAAGTTTTTTTAAAAATTTTTTCAGGAAACGTATAACAAGTTATACCAGCAGCAGCATATTAAATGACACACAAAATTCACATGGGAGTTACAAACACAACAATTAAACAGAATTAAAAAAAAAAGAAAAAACAAAAAATTAAGAGCAGTATAAATAACATTAAAATTTATAAATTAAACATAATTTATACTAATAACTAAAATTATAAAATATTATTTGAAAAAATTTTAACCGTTTTTAAAAAAAAAAAAAAAAAAAAAAAAAAAAAAAAACAAACAAAAAACAACCAAAAATATATCAAAAGATTTTCATAAGTATTAAGGACAATATATAGCTTTTTTGGAAATGCTTATTATATAAATATATAATTAAAAATATTAAAAAATAAATAAATAAATAATGCAAATAGTTTAATAAAATTATTAAATATAATTTTTTTTTTTTTATAAAAAATTTAAAAAATTTTTTTTTTTTTTTTTTTTTTTTTTTTAAATTTGAGTGTTAAAGAAAAACAAAGAGCAAGAAAAAAAAAGAAAAAATTCATTACATTCAAAGGTTTGTAATAATTTTATTCATAAAATTTAAGTGTTTAATTTCAATATATGTGAACATAATCTGTATAAATCGCAGACCTTTCCACCACCCTTCATACTTTACTAAACACATAACCAAAGTTTAAATTCAGGTTCAAAATAATTAGAAAGAATTAATTAATTTTAGAAATATATTCAAGCAGTGAATTAATCAGTAGAGGGAAAAAAACGCATAACCACCAATTATTACGAGAATAAAATGAATAATATACATTTACATGATGCCGACGTATTGCTATTAAAACAGCATAAAATTAAGCATTACATAACCACATAGAAGCTGTTTATAGTTAAATTAATAATTATTAATTCAATTGTATATAAAAACTTGTGTTAAATGTTCTTCTACGACGAATAAGTCATCAAAGCTTGAAATGTAACGTTAATAATAATAATAATAATAATAATAATAATATTAATAATAATATACATACATATATATCAAAAAAGATCAGCTTATCTACTTTCATATGATGCACTATGATCACACATACGCTTCGTTATTGCGTTAAACGACATTTTTGTTGCTAGTTCTTTATGTATCCAAAGATTAATCGCATCTAACTCTTTTAAGCGGTCTAAACTGCCAATTTTCTTTTATCCCAATAACATATTTTTTTATGAAAGTATAATAGAATATTTTATAAACTATATACATTTTATATCATTGTCTTCGCTAATCTAACAACAGTATTAGATTTTTTTTTTTATTTTGAATCATGTCGGGGTATATAAAAAAGTTTTTGCCGCAAAAAATTTTTAAAATACTTTCCATTAATTAAACTTCACGCGAACAATTCACTAAACTTCTTGATGTCGTTTACAAACAAGTAAACAAACGATTGGGCCCACGGCTGACCATTAAAGACGCTGCACGACCCTACATTTATTCATATAACGATTTTCAAAATAAAGCGTTATACGGAAAATGATCGAATCCGAATCATTTTCAGTAGCGTTCGTCGTTGGGCGACAACATGATGTGCTAAGGTACATTAAATTTTATCAAAATATATCAAAAATTGCGATCTAAGCACAAGAGAGCGAAGCGGAAAGACGAACAGGCAAGCTTGATGATCCTGAATCGATCGGTTTAATAAATGATCGGTCCATCTTATGTCTTTCTGTGTGTTACATATAACCGCACAAACTTAATATACCGTTGATTTCCGGTATAGAAAATTCTTAGTATTGTTTACAAAAAAAAAAAAAAAACACAGTCACTCTGTTACATTACGCGCTATTCTAAATAATTTTTATTATTGCATCCTCGATGTTTTATGTGACATTTAAAGCTATGAAGTAACGAAATCTCTGCGAAAGAATTCTGATGACTAATCTGATTAAACGGATAGCCTTCGCTCTTTCTTTTTATAGCCGATACCCTCAGGGTATATGAAGTTTGTGCGGTTATATGTAACACCCAGCAACGCGTACAAGACAGGCGCACATTTTATTACATCGATTTGTTCTATAAGGCCTTGTATGAGGAAACTGCTTGACCTATTAAAATCATAGTGAAAACCGAGCCTTAATAGTAATTTGATATAGAAATTGTCACCTGTACTACGTTTCCTACGACTATGTAGGTCTAAATTTCGGATCATACTCCTTGTGAGGATATTCATGAAAAGCAGTCCTTTGTATGACATCAAAAGCTTTATTTTTAGTAATTTATGACGAATATAGGTGATTAACAATAAGGTGCACATTTCTAGATTCAGGTCCCATCCATTTATGCATTGGCCTCTCTTGCATACAATAAAAATGTGCTTTTACATGGAAACAAAGTATGATTGTTGGTACTTTATCACGAAAGTATATGAAAAATTGCACTGGGTGAACTGATCGGGATGGGGAGTAGGGGATCTAATGATCTATCTTGCTTGACTGTAATGTTCTTATTCGTCTTTCTTGAAAATGGTATATTTTCCATGTTTTTTATTCCCTGCATCACTTTTGTGCATTCAGTTCGGACTTGGGATATAACTGCCTTTCATTGCGCGGATCGATACTGCCAGTTGTTGCATCCCTTTAACTTGTGGTATTTTACGACGGAAATAGGTGAAGAGAAAAAAAATTAACTTGATTAGATTTATACTCAGTTGGTTTAGGTCTTTTGCTCTGGAGTCATTTTGCCTAAGGCCTCACAAGACAAGTAAGCCTTTACATGTTCTAATGTCGGAAATGGTAATCATTTTGAACATTTACGACGGAAATCATTGATTATCACTGGTATTAGAAACAAGTGGAAGGTTGGTAGCGAAAGGAGAGAATGATTCGGTTATTAACCTTAATGTTCCCTTGTAATGTTCGGTTTGAAGTGAACCGAAGCATCGAATCAGATTAAATAAAAAAGGCGGCAAAAATTCTTTTTGATATACCTGAGATATGAGTTATGCCACGACTTAAATAATAACCAAAAATACGCTACAAAAATCTACATAAGGTGCTCATCATATTCTTAATTAGCTTGAGATTCTGGTTCAATATTTCTATGTTTGTTGTTCAGAGAAATAGTTTATCTTATATTGCTTGGGATTATTTAAAAAGATGTAGAATTATTTTTCGCATGCGGTGTGGAATTCTTTTATAATATAATATATGGCGGATATATAATTATTCGGTGTTTGTCGAATATAAGGTCTCTCCTGTTATCTATTAAACGTTAGGTCTTTATCTGAACGTATATTAAAGCTTTTAATTACATATATATTAATATCTCAATATATATTTTGGATTGTCGGAAAAGTCGAGACGTATATTTACATATCCTAATTACTTGTGAACATTGTGAAGCTTTTCTCTTATCATATTTCATAGAATGTATTTCGATATAATTATAAATTAGAGATTATCACCGAAGTCATTGGCAAAAGCAAAAATTTCCAAATAAAATATGAGGTTTAATATTTCTATAAAGCATTTTTATATAATTTTTATACCCGAGTCTTTACACCCTGAGTGATGAGTGGTATATTCAGTTAGTCAAAACGTTTGTACCGCTCAAAACGAAACTTCCAGGACCCCACAAAGTGTATATATATTCTTGATCAGCATCAAATTCCCAAATCGGTTTAAGCATGTCCGTCCCTTCGTCTGCGTAATGTCTGCTGTCAACATATTGACTTCAAATTGCGCAAAAACATTGAAAGTTCTTGCACGG